CTGCGACCTGGCCAAGATAAAGCAAAGCAGTGCGATAAAAACAACAACACAGAGTTACATATGGGGTAAACAAAACATAAAGTCAAAAATACAAATAGAAAATATATATACAGTGTGTGCGAATGTAGTAAGTTATGGAGGTAAGGCAATAAATAGGCCATAGTGCAAAATAGTTGCAATTTTGTATTAACACTGGAATGATAGATGTGCAGAAGATGATGTGCAAATAGAGATACTGGGGTGCAAATCAGCAAAATAAATAACAATATAGGGATGAGGTAGTTGGGTGGGCTAATTTCAGAATGGCTGTGTACAGGTGCAGTGATCGGTAAGCTGCTCTGACAACTGACGCTTAAAGTTAGTGAGGGAGATAAGAGTCTCCAGCTTCAGAGATTTTTGCAGTTCGTTCCAGTCATTGGCAGCAGAGAACTGGAAGGAATGGTGGCCAAAGGAGGTGTTGGCTTTGGGGATGACCAGTGAGATATACCTGCTGGAGCGCAGACTAACGGGTGGGTGTTGCTATGGTGACCAGTGAACTAAGGTAAGACGGGGATTTGCCTAGCAGTGATTTATAGATGACCTGGAGCCAGTGGGTTTGGCGACGAATATGTAGTGAGGGCCAGCCAACAAGAGCGTACAGGTCACAATGGTGGGTAGTATATGGGGCTTTGGTGACAAAACGGATGGCACTGTGATAGACTACATCCAATTTGCTGAGTAGAGTGTTGGAGGCTATTTTGTAAATGACATCGCCGAAGTCAAGGATCGGTAGGATAGTCAGTTTTACGAGGGCATGTTTGGCAGCATGAGTGAAGGAGGCTTTGTTGCGAAATAGGAAGCCGATTCTAGATCTAACTTTTGATTGGAGATGCTTAATGTGAGTCTGGAAGGAGAGTTTACAGTCTAACCAGACACCTAGGTATTTGTAGTTGTCCACATACTCTAGGTCAGACCCGCCGAGAGTAGTGATTCTAGTCGGGTGGGCGGGTGCAAGCAGCGTTCGGTTGAAGAGCATGCATTTAGTTTTACTAGTTGAAGCTCGTTTGGAGGTTTGTTAACACAGTGTCCAATGAAGGGCCAGATGTATATAAAATGGTGTCGTCCGCATAGAGGTGGATCCGAGCTTCACCAGCAGCAAGAGCAACATCATTGATATACACAGAGAATAGAGTCGGCCCGAGAATTGAACCCTGTGGCACCCCCATAGAGACTGTCAGAGGTCCAGACAACAGGCCCTCCGATTTGACACATTGAACTCTATCTGAGAAGTAGTTGTTGAACCAGGTGAGGCAGTCATTAGAGAAACCAAGGCTATTTAGTCTGCCAATAAGAATGCGGTGGTTGACAGAGTTGAAAGCCTTGGCCAGGTCGATGAAGACGGCTGCGCAGTCCTGTCTTTTATCGATCGCGGTTATAATATCGTTTAGGACCTTGAGCGTGGCTGAGGTGCACCCATGACCAGCTCGTAAACCGGATTGCATAGCGGAGAAGGTACGGTGGGATTCGAAATGGTCGGTGATCTGTTTGTTAACTTGGCTTTCAAATACTTTCGAAAGGCAGGGCAGGATGGATATAGGTCTGTAACAGTTTGGATCTAGAGTGTCACCCCCTTTGAAGAGGGGGATGACCGCGGCAGCTTTCCAATCTCTGGGGATCTCAGACGTTACGAAAGAGAGGTTGGAACAGGCTAGAAATAGGGGTTGCGACAATTTCGGCAGTTAATTTTAGAAAGAAAGGGTCCAGATTGTCTAGCCCAGCTGATTTGTAGGGGTCCAGATTTTTCAGCTCTTTCAGAACATCAGCTGTCTGAATTTGTGTGAAGGAGAAGCGGGGGGGAGCATGGGCAAGTTGCAGCAGAGGGTGCAGAGCTGGTGGCCGGGGTAGTGGTAGCCAGGTGGAAAGCATGGCAGCCGTAGCAAAATGCTTGTTGAAATTCTCGATGATTGTAGATTTATCGGTGGTGACAGTGTTTCCTAGCCTCAGTGCAATGGGCAGTTGGGAGGAGGTGCTCTTATTTTCCATGGACTTTACAGTGTCCCAAAACGTTTTGAAGTTAGTGCTACAGGATGCAAATTTCTGTTTGAAAAAGCTAGCCTTTGCTTTCCTAACTGATTGTGTATATTGGTTCCTGACTTCCCTGAAAAGTTGCATATCGCGGGGATTGATCGATGCTAATGCAGTACGCCACAGGATGTTTTTGTGCTGGTCAAGGGCAGTCAAGTCTGAGGAGAACCAGGGGCTATATCTGTTCTTACTTCAGAATTTTTTGAATGGGGCATGCTTATTTAAGATTGAGAGGAAAGCACTTTTAAAGAACAACCAGGCATCCTCTACGGACGGAATGAGGTCAATATCCATCCAGGATACCCGGGCCAGGTCAATTAGAAAGACCTGCTCGCTAAAGTGTTTTAGGGAGCGTTTGACAGTGATGAGGGGTGGTCGTTTGACCGCGGACCCATTACAGACGCAGGCAATAAGGCAGTGATCGCTGAGATCCTGGTTGAAGACAGCGATCTATGAGGGTGCCCATGTTTACAGATTTAGGGTTGGACATGGTAGGTTCGTTGATAATTTGTGTGAGATTGAGTGCATCTAGTTTAGATTGTAGGATGGCCGGGGTGTTAAGCATATCCCAGTTTAGGTCACCAAGCAGTACAAACTCTGAGGATAGATGGGGGGCAATCAGTTCACATATGGTGTCCAGGGCACAGCTCGGGGCTGAGGGGGGTCTGTAGCAAGCGGCAACAGTGAGAAACTTATTTCTGGAAAGGTGGAATTTTAGAAGTAGAAGCTCAAACTGTTTGGGCACAGACCTGGATAGTACAATAGAGCTCTGCAGGCTCTCTCACCCCCCTTGGCAGTTCTATTGAGACGGAAAATGTTGTAGTTAGGGATGGACATTTCTGAATTTTTGGTGGCCTTCCTAAGCCAGGATTCAGACACTGCTAGGACATCAGGGTTGGCGGAGTGTGCTAACGCAGTGAATAACTCAAACTTAGGGAGGAGGCTTCGGATGTTAACGTGCAAGAAACCAATGCTTTTACGGTTACAGAAGTCAACAAATGATAACGCCTGGGGAGTAGGAGTGATACTGGGGGCTACAGGGCCTGGGTTAACCTCTACATCACCAGTGGAACAGAGGAGGAGTAGAATAAGGATACGGCTAAAGGCTTTAAGTACTGGTCTTCTAGTGCGTTGGTTACAGAGAAAAAAAGGGGCTGGTTTCCGGGCGTTGTAGAATAGATTCAGGGAATTATGTACAGACAAGGATATGGAAGGATATGAGTACAGTGGAGGTAAACCTAAGCGTTGGGTAACGATGAAAGAGATAGCATCACTGGAGGCACCGATTTAGTCGGTCTCCGCGTGTATGGGGGGTGGGACAAAGGAGCTGTCTAAGGCACTCAGGGCGGCGCACAATTGGCCCAGCGTCGTCCAGGGTAGGGGAGGGAATGGCCGGCAGGGATGTAGCTCAGTTGATAGAGCATGGCGTTTGCAACGCCAGGGTTGTGGGTTCGATTCCCACGGGGGGCCAGTATAAAATAATAATAATAATGTATTCACTAACTGTAAGTCGCTCTGGATAAGAGCGTCTGCTAAATGACTAAAATGTAAATGTAAGGCAGGCTGAGCTGGGCTGGGGGATCTACAGTGAAATAGTACAATAAGAAATAACCGAAACAGCAATAAGCAAGGCATATTGACATGGGAGAGAGGCATAAAGCAATCACAGGTGTTATTCGAGAGCTAAGACAACAGCTGGTAATGGTGACAAAGTTTAGGCTGAGGCTAAACATAAACAGGATGGGGTACCGTATAAAGGAACAGTCCAGCAGGCATCAGCTGTATAGCCGAGTTATCATAAGGTCCGGTGAACAGCAATAGGAGAGTTTGGAGGTAGTTTGGGGGCTGCTATAGCACTAGCGAGCAAGAGGCCACGGCTAGCGTGTGATAGCGGGCCAGGGCTAGCAGATGGAGTGGCCTTTTATTGTCCCCAGCACAAGGTGCACCTGTGTAATGATCATGCTGTTTAATCAGCTTCTTGATATGCCACAAGCTAACTCGCTTCGATATGAACACACAACTAACACAATTGATTGCTTTTGCAAAATAGCAGATGACAAATTTCAACAACTCTCCTTTTTTATCAAATTAAATTACGACTCAGAAACTCATCATTGTTCAAATTAACACATTTGATTGCTAGGTTTCTGTTGATCAGACGGTCTCTGTGTCGATCACCACTCAACCATAAAGCTGTTGGGATGCTGAAAAACGCTACTTTGTGATTGCACGAATATAGCGCTGATCATTGATCGTGAGCCTGCTGGGCGGAGCGTTATCCGTTTCTCCATTCATTTTCCGCTAAGATTCTTATCTCCTCCTTTCTCTAAAATCTCTGGCTAAATCCACTGAGATAGGGCAAATATTGATAGTAAACTTTTGCCCTTATACAGGCCGGTACCATTGGTGGAATATATCAGCATTGTTTGTGCAATAGCTTGTTCTTAATCAGAGAAGAAAATGCGAAGAATATTCAAAAATCTTTGTCTGAATGTACCGATCTATTTAAATCTAATTAGGGTCCCCTGGGAAACACTGACCAACACTTTGGTTCCTACTCTGTCACAACTATCTCCTCCCTTACATCCATTGTCATGCCATACAGTGCCCACTGTATTCCAACAATACAATTAGAATGATCATTCTATTTCTATGATTCCAACAGTTTACCCAACTGTTTTGATCTATAATCGCAAGTAAAATCGCAATTGCAATATTTGGTACAGAAATCGCAATTAAATGTTTTGCATATATTGTGCAGCCCTACTTCCATACATGACAGGACTTTACCTCCAACTGAGAAATCAGTAAATGGGACTGAAGGACAGTGCATTATGTCATGATGCATGTCAAAGACAAGTATTATTATGTATGTCAAAGGCGAGTATTACGTCTTTATTATAAGGTTTGATTATGACACATAATTTGACCTTTACCTGCATGGTATTGAGCTTCTGGTCCAGCTGTCTGTTCTTCTCCCTCATCTCCTCGTACTGAGACAATGTTTCAGACAGACGGCTGCTCAGGCCTGGCAGAACCTTGTACCGCTCCAGAAGCTCTCCTTTTACATCCTCCACCTAGACGGGTGATAAACAATATCTGTTGTTATTATTACTGCTTTCATTACCCTAAACTACAGTAACCATTCAGCCCTAGGGTTAGTTGTTGTTATCAAGTTAGATGTGGTTGATTTAGTTTCAATTCTCCCAATTAATTTTTTTCAGGTACAGTGTGTTACATATAAAGGCACATACAAAAATGTGTGAATGAACACTTCCATGATGTCGATTTTATAAAAAGTTTCCTCTAATGGTACACAGGGCAAATTAAAATAAAACAATTTTTATGGTACAAAGTTTCCATCTAATGGTAACCAACAGTGCATTTATTTTAAACAAAAAAAGTAAGAATAAAACAACAACAAAAAAAGTGTTGAGAAAAAAAGAGCAGAAGTAAAATAAAGTGACAGTAGGGAGGCTATATATACAGTAAAATAAAGTGACAGTAGGGAGGCTATATATACAGGGGGGTACCGTTGCAGAGTCAATGTGCGGGGGCACCGGCTAATTGAGGTAGTTGAGGTAATATGTACATGTGGGTAGAGTTAAAGTGACTATGCATAAATACTTAACAGAGTAGCAGCAGCGTAAAAAGGATGGGGTGGGGGGGCAGTGCAAATAGTCCGGGTAGCCATGATTAGCTGTTCAGGAGTCTTATGGCTTGGGGGTAGAAGCTGTTGAGAAGTCTTTTGGACCTAGACATGGCACTCCGGTACCGCTTGCCGTGCGGTAGCAGAGAGAACAGTCTATGACTAGGGTGGCTGGAGTCTTTGACAATTTTGAGGGCCTTCCTCTGACACCGCCTGGTATAGAGGTCCTGGATGGCAGGGAGCTTTGCCCCAGTGATGTACTGGGCCGTACGCACTACCCTCTGTAGTGCCTTGCGGTCAGAGGCCAAGCAGTTGCCATACCAGGCGGTGATGCAACCAGTCAGGATGCTCTCGATGGTGCAGCTGTAGAATTTTTTGAGGATCTGAGGACCCATGCCAAATCTTTTTAGTCTCCTGAGGGGGAATAGGCTTTGTCGTGCCCTCTTCACGACTGTCTTGGTGTGTTTGGACCATGATAGTTCGTTGGTGATGTGGACACCAAGGAACTTGAAGCTCTCAACCTGTTCCACTACAGCCCAGTCGATGAGAATGGGGGCGTGCTCAGTCCTCTTTTTTTTTCTGTAGTCCACAATCATCTCATTTGTCTTGGTCACGTTGAGGGAGAGGTTGTTGTCCTGGCACCACACGGCCAGATCTCTGACCTCCTCCCTATAGGCTGTCTCATCGTTGTCGGTGATCAGGCCTACCACTGTTGTGTCGTCGGCAAACTTAATGATGGTGTTGGAGTCGTGCCTGGCCATGCAGTCATGGGTGAACAGAGAGTACAGGAGGGGACTGAGCACGCACCCCTGAGGGGCCCCCGTGTTGAGGATCAGTGTGGCAGATGTGTTGTTACCTACCCTTACCACCTGGGGGCGGCCCGTCAGGAAGTCCAGGATCCAGTTGCAGAGGGAGGTGTTTAGTCCCAGGATCCTTAGCTTAGTGATGAGCTTAGAGGGCACTATGGTGTTGAATGCTGAGCTGTAGTCAATGAATAGCATTCTCACGTAGGTGTTCCTCTTGTCCAGGTGGGAAAGGGCAGTGTGGAGTGCGATAGAGATTGCATCATCTGTGGATCTGTTGGGGCGGTATGCAAATTGGAGTGGGTCTAGGGTTTCTGGGATTATGCTGTTGATGTGAGCCATGACCAGTCTTTCAAAGCACTTCATGGCTACAGACGTCAGTGCTACGGGTCGGTAGTCATTTAGGCAGGTTATCTTAGAGTTCTTGGGCACGGGGACTATGGTGGTCTGCTTGAAACATGTTGGTATTACAGACTCAGTCAGGGACATGTTGAAAATGTCAGTGAAGACACTTGCCAGTTGGTCAGCACATGCTCGGAGTACACGTCCTGGTAATCCGTCTGGCCCTGCGGCCTTGTGAATGTTGACCTGCTTAAAAGTCTTACTCACATCGGCTACGGAGAGCGTGATCACATAGTCGTCCGGAACAGCTGGTGCTCTCATGCATGCTTCAGTGTTGCTTGCCTCGAAGCGAGCATAGAAGTGGTTTAGCTCGTCTGGTAGGCTTGTGTCACTGGGCAGCTCGCGGCTGTGCTTCCCTTTGTAGTCTGTAATAGTTTTCAAGCCCTGCCACATCCGACGAGCGTCAGAGACAGTGTAGTATGATTCAATCTTAGACCTGTATTGACTCTTTGCCTGTTTGATGGTTCGTCGGAGGTCATAGCGGGATTTCTTATAAGCGTCCGGGTTAGAGTCCCGTTCGGGCAAATTGTTATAAAGAATAAATTGGAGTTCATTGCAGTACCTTGGCCTCCAGTGTAGTGTTCCTGGTTGCCATCAACCGCAGGTGTTCAGAGGCAAAGCTAGATTCATGGTCCCTCATGTCTTGGTTGAGACCCTGCAGACGAGTAACAGGGAATATGATATCAGTAACATACCAGTTTAAAACTTCTGTATGCGCTGCTAAATGTGGCTGAGTTGTAGTTCAGTGGGACAGTAGCACCACTTTCTTATGATATCAACAATAGCAAGATAAAGGAGTAGGAGAGCCATGTTATTACAACTTATATTAAACATATTATTATTATTAATAAAACATTTAACAGTCATAGTAACATGAAGACTTACCTTGAAATTGCATCCAAAGCGGATAAAGGAGCAGGTGACCTGAGCCTTTGGACACTCATGTTGATGACTTGTCAGCTGAGAGTAGAAACACACATTTAGGTTCAATCATTTCCTTCTATATCAAGCATTTGCAGTACAATGTGGTCTCAATGAAATGAGCAACCATTGTATCACAAAACCTAAAACTATGTTTATCCATCTGATGATAAGAGGAAAGATGACCATACTTCTTTTGCATGAATACAATTTATATTACGAACATTAAAATAAACTCCTTACCTCGCTGCGTAAGATGGAGGGAAAAGTACAATGATTGGGGCAGGCCACCGGAAATGAAGGACAAACTGTTTCTTTGTGTTTCTGAAAAAGTTATCAAGTAAAGAGAAATTGCCACTATGGAAAGCAAATACAGGGACAATACACCTAGTAAATATTCACACAAAAAACATGGAACACAAGTACTGAACTGGCTCTACAACATAAATCAATGATATTGTTTAAGGAAGTAACAGTGTTGTTATAGTCAGTGCTTAAGGTGACTTAAATACATGCCAGTACCAGTGTTTCCCCTAGGATTTTTTTCAGCAGTGGTGGCAAAGGTAGGTACTCTTTGCTGGGGGTGTCCGGAGGGCATGCCTTCCCGGGGGATTTTTTTTGTAGAATGACAGTGGGTCACGTCTGGTGACTTTTAAAAAATACATTCTACTCCAAAATTCATAAAAATGTAATGATGTTAACACCTGAAATATAACTGATGTGCGCCACTGCACTGTAGGGAACAAATGTGAAGATATTTACACAGCCCTGATCGGCTGATAGGATGGTCTAGTGCCCACCACCTTACCCAGATGAACAGTCATTGGTCTATAGAGAGAAATAGTAATGGCGTCTTTTTGTAGGCACAGTACAGGAATTTTGGGGCAGAAATATGTAATGTGTGGAGCATTTCGTAAAAACAACAACTGCGTAGGCTAAGCCTAATATATTGTAGGCTCACTCTCGCGCCTCGCTCTAGTAGTATATGGCTTGTAAAAAATGCTGCGGTTTAATCAAATAGGCTACCAACTGGAGAGCGTGACAAGTGGCCTGAAGCGGCATAGCTGCTCTCCTCACTTTACCGTCAAGCCCAATTGTTCGCATACTTAACTAACCCCGTGCGAAAAGTGAAATAAAAATATCGACTTATGCAGTACTGCCACTCAGGTTATTCTTTTTTTAATGTTCTTGTTGTAAATGTTAATGTGTTGTACATTTTCATATGTGCGCAGAGCTCAGCTGTAGGCTACAAATAAATGCCGGTGCTGTAATGTGCAGACCATCCTGCTGGGGTCTCTGTCCTCATCCTTCAGCCTTGGTCAATATATATTTAGATCATTTAGAATATGCTTATCCAGAGTGACTAAAGCCAACAATAGGTAAGACAACCACATATCACAGTCGCATATTACTGAAATGATTTTCAATACTTCCTAAACAAACCCAATAGCCTATATTTCTGTGCACAAAAATTAGCACGGACTGGACGGGAGTGATTTTTATCGGGAAAGGACAGGAAAGTTCTGGGGTTATAGACCTGTTGCGGGATCAGGACAGTACAGGAAAGAAAATGACAGGACAAAATCTCCTAAGCCTGTGTTAAACTCAAACCTCATTTTCGGCAATTATTCCAAAACTATATTATTTCGCCATTCATCTTTCCCATAGGGATGGCTGAACAAACCAGAGGTAACTAATTTCCGGGTTTTATGACTACAATCTGGCGAGCTCTATTATAATCAGATCACACTGTGACGTCATGATGTGGGCCAAAAGTTCCATACCACCCGAACGGGCTTAAATTCCAGGTATTTTCTTTTAACAGCTCTTGCACAGAAAGGGCATTATCATTATTCAATAATTTTATTTCGATCTCATAGTGTGGAAATATCATTTTAAAAAACAGGAAACTCATGTTTAAACTGCACTGCCCCTTTAAAGACACAATATTCTATAGGAGGTGCAGGTTCGGTGAGCATCGGCCCAACTCAAGTAGTGGTTCTAGTTACCTGTAATTCAGTCATGGCCATCTTCTGCATGCAGAATTCACAGGTGGTCTCCCTGTGTTTACATTTCCTACTCAAGTGTTCAGAAATGTCTTTGCGCATCATCTTCTCTTTGCACTTTCCCAAAGGGCATGGCACCTCAAAATACAGACACACATTTAAATGATCCTGGGAAAAAAAAGAGGAAAAGGAATCATGAGTGTAAAGAAAATGTTACATATTATTATGAATTACTATGTTCAACCAATGTGACTAACATCAAGGAGAATTGTAGATAAACACTTTTCTAAACAGTCATTCAAAATGGGTGGATCTTCTGCAGTTCAGAGTTTGAATACTGACGGTGTGCACTGTGCAACAATGAGACTTTATATTTTCCCCAGTCAGACACTTACCATGACCTGCTGTAAACGTATCTGCTCCTTACAGCCGTTCTTCTCACTCCTGCAGTACACTTTCAGAGTCATGATCTCTCTATGGCAACACACGTCACGGAAGACCTGACAAAACACACACAACACTATTGTCACTGATTTAGTTCAAGGCCATTTAGAATGGGTATACACCAGGGATGGGCAACTTTGATGGGGGTGGGGGCCACCAAAAACACAGTGGCTCGCGGGTCTGCGTACCCACATCCATACTCACACATGCAGTCAGATTACGTTTTAAATGTTATCTTGCAATTGTATTACTAATTTACTGATTTTGCCATGGGCCGGACAGAAACACTTTCAATTTTCCAGCTAATTTTTGCCATTGGGTGGAGAGAAATGTTTGCAGATTTTAATATGATATCTGAATGAGAGTAACTAACTAAATGAAAGTGGGCCTCCCGGTCGGTAATTCGACCATGATTACTACAAGTTTAGATAGCTCGCTAAACTAACTTACCAATCGGAAAAAAGTTAGCTGATATGGGCTAATTGAGTGCACAACCACATTTTGAAACGTACCTTGTGTATTCTACTATTCTAACTCTAAACAGTTAGTTGAGACCCTGACTGAGTTAAAAATGAGGGATAATGACAGTTATGCAAATCATTTTCATAGTCTTACCTTGTCTTTGAACAGAGGTTCCATATCTGCTGGACATACTGGAGTCGGTTTGCTGTAAAGTAGATTGAACTAATCATTTATGTCCAATCAATCCTCCTTTTAACAACTAGTGGCCAATGACTTCATTATTCCTCAATCATCATCAGCACATGATCATTGAATGACAAACCATTCTTACCAGAAAGACAGCTGACATACCAAACACACTGACAAGACATTCCTGTAATTTCTCAACTGTAATTTCCTAAAAAATAAACATACCCATTCATTCTCACACTCAGCATGAACATCAAATCTCTTCTCCTCACCTTAGCTGCTCAGAGATACAGGTTTCACAGAAGCGGTGTCCGCATTCTGTCTGCCTGGGGTTGCAGAGCACCAGCCTGCAGGCCTCACAGCAGTACTTGGGTTCCGGGGTGGCTACGAAGTGGTCCCTGAAGCCCCCGTGCTGGGGTAGGAAGCCTGCCACGTGGTCGCTGGGCCAGGGGCGCTGGGCCAGGGAGAGAGCGGCCGGGGAGAGAGAGCATTGCTGGAGGGGGATCTGCAGCTCCCGCCCGTCCGCATTCCGCCCTGCTGACATGACCTGGGGAGGGTACACACACACACACACACACACACATACACAGACAGACACAGACGGACACAGACAGACATGAGGGGAGAGATGTTTAATAAAATGTACAGTTGCAAAATACAGGACAAACACACCATGGGGTTTCAGCTGAGGCTATGTGTGTGTGTGTGTTAATGTTGAGCATTCATTGCCACATCAACAGCTCCCGACTGTCATGCCAAGCTTTGGGAAACCCCTTTATAACAGGCATAACTAACTGGGGCTAATTTTATCTCTGCTCTGACTCTGAGCAGAATGGAGTGCACAAACAGGAAGGCTTGAGACTGGATAAATCATATCCAAAATTAGATGGAGAGGACAGAACTTAATCTAGACTGACCAAAGCCTTTATTATTGACTTGCCAAAAGATTATTCATTGTCAGAGTGCAAGCCATAGGAGGGCAAGCAATCTAGGCTAGAACATCCTTCAGTTGACTCAAATCATATGGATATATAGCATACACCATCCTAAAGGACACCATCCACTTCTACTATCAGGTTCTAGTAAAAATGGAGAACATGCATGTAGAACATTCTACAACTGAGAAAGGTTCCCATGAAGATAGAGATCAACTCTGACCTAATGACTGAACCATCAGCTCTACATCCTGTTTCACATGGTTCAACTGGCTCATTCATACAGTACAACTGAACCCATTCAACTGACACTGGTTAGGATATCAAGACTGGCCCCTTCTACAACTCTGCCCGTTGAAAGTACATCAGTCCATCCAACTGTCATCACTGGATAAGCAAGTCGATTAGGCCTAGGCTATTGGCTGACCAGTTCATGTGGTTCTCAAGGGACTTCCTGGAATATTCAAGGGGCTTTTCCACATGCTGCCTCATCCCTGTCTATCACCACTGACTGACTACATACACACACACACACATAGATGTAAGCCGGATAGAAGCCGTCAGCAAAAGTTTGAAATTTAGATTGGTTAGGCTAGATAGATATCTTCGTTATCTCCTACCTACAGTAACGCATATAGTACATTTGAGATCGTTTCGGGTACATTTGGGCCAGGGACGAGATTAGTCAGGTCTATCTTCCTCGACAGGAAATCTGTTTCTGATGAAACAGAGCATTATGTAAAATTGGGTATTTCCCCTGTTAAATACACTCACTGATAGGTTTACATGGAAAATGTCCAACATCTTTTGAGAACTAGGCCCAATATTCTACAGTCTTTAAACCTGGTCATAATGCTTGATGCTGAAAGGACACATTGTGTCTAAGTGAGTGGATGAAGAAAAGTGGAGGGAAATCAGTTACATGGCATAGTTTCTCAGGTGAGATCCTCTCATATGGCCATGCAATGCACCAGCTATCTATTCTACTCAGACAATATTGGTACAGAGGACAGTCTCTCCACTCCCATTATACAGATGTCGCCAAGTCTTGTTATGCTGGTTGAGTAGCATGACATCACAAAACAAAAACGAAACAAGTAGGGGAATTCTCTGACTGACCCTTAGGGCACAATTACCATAACCGTGTAACTACTGTTACGGAGGAAGACCGTCATGAAAATAAAGTAACTGCCGTCATAACCGTTTAAAAAAAACAGTGTGGAACAAACAGCTGACTGAAGACAGGATGGCCAGGCATTTGGGCGGTTGAGTCTGTTCCTGCTGTAACATGGACTATACAATGATGAAACTTTGTTGCTCCTTGCTGAAACAAGCATGGTGTTGTAGCAAACGAGTTGTCTAGGCAATGCCCCCTTCCCTGCAGCAGCAGCACATGCAGTCAGGAGAGAAAATATGCGTCTTTAACTGTTATAACTGTAACCGCGATCATTTGGTTGACCAATTACCGTCATCCAAAATTCCATGACCGTCACAGACCTAATTGCACTAAATCAAATCTAAGTTTATTGGTCAGGTACACATATTTTCAGATGTTATCGCAGGTGCAGTGAAATGCTTGTGTTTCTAGCTACATGGAACTCTATAACCTGAAAGCAAGAGAACTTGTAAACAGGTGAATCTTCCCAGAACAGATTCATGGTTTTTCTGATCAGTGTCTTAGACCCGGCCAATCAAAAATGTAACTGGGATTCGGTTAAATAATGTTTTATATGCATACAGGCATACTGTTGGGCATGTCTCAAAGGTATTATTGACATATAAGCATATATTTGAATACAAATATGTTTTGCACCCAATATTTACTATTACCAGACGGTTGATCAGGTCTGATAATAGAAGCCACCCTCCAAAATTGTAATTTATAAAAATGACTTTAGGTACATTGACATTTTTAGACAACCAATTTGTCATAACTGTAATTAATGTATTGCACATGCATTGGTGTAAAACTGAAGATCTTATAACACAATGTCATGTCAATGTAAAATGACATGACAAGGTGATCATGTAGAATAATACATTTTTAGAATATGCCATTATTGGTATATTTTCACCATGGTTTAGATGGCTGAGTCTAGGCAATTCAGTGCACCACAGCGATGTTTTAAATTACCTCATACCCCAATTTGAAGCCTCCCTAGCTCCAAACACATGCTTTGGCTCACAACTGCATGGCTACTCAGCATGTTGTAATCTACAAACATAGCTACATAAAAGTAAAATTCACTATATTATACTTCGCTTTCCCATCTAGCAACAATACTTACATGAATCAGATTTGTAACGTTGGCCAACGCAACGCCGTTTTCCAGGAGCTAATGTTACAAATGGAGCTTCGATGAATGGCACGTTCATGAACGCGAACACCACAATGTAACCGCTTACAATGAAAACGACCAAACACTGCCCGTTTTAAAATAGGCAGCTAGAGGCTTTTGATCGGTAGCTGACATTCTAAAAACAGAATGTTAAAAGCACATATACTAAAATCCATACGGGAACATAGCAGAAAAAGCAGCCGCTGCTGTCTTGATGTCTAGTGGTTGGAAAGCCCCCTTTGCTTTGGCCTTACTTCCTCAGGAAATCCCCGTCATGAAGAAAAAAATTATAGTCAGCCAGTGATAGGCCATGATGTGTTATGGTATTTCCGCTAGATGGCAGTGTCATCATCACCATCAAGTGTGAAGTGTACTACGGGAATTGCTGTCACATGTACACATGTGGGACATTTCACTGTTGGGCTTTTAGAGTAAGGTGCGTAACCCCATATCAGGCACAATAATGAAACAGCTTAAACCACACTATTGACATATTTATGACAAAATGTGTGCTGAAAGAGAAGAGTGCCTGTCTGTTTGTGCTATTATGCCAAAATGAATGCTGGACCTGACAATGAGCAGTGGAGTTGGCAAGAGCACAAACAGCTCTGGGAACAGGCTAAAAACAAATAGCAGAAGACAAATGAGCATCCAGTAAATGTCCCTAGAAATCCTTCAAATTTATTGTCTAGTTAATTGATGGGCAAATTGAATACACAATGGTAAATGACAGCAATACACACAACTGCACACACCCTCATTAAAACCCCACCTCAGGCATTCACAATTTCTTCATAAATATATAAAAAGGTTTCAAAACAGTATGCTAAATCATGGTACCAGTACAGTAAAAACAGTAGAATAGCATAGGCCGGTTGCTGTGAAAGGGACAGGGTTTGAATTCAGAACTCAAAAAGGTTTAAATTAAAATGTCAAAATTGTTCCCCAAGATGAAAATCCGGGAGGGGACTGTGGATCTGTCTGTCCATCCGTTAGTCACACGCGATATCTCAGACAGCTCTGGTCCGATTTTGACGAAACCTGGGTGAATGAGGAGTCTTGCCATAGAGATCTGGCATTTACAAAATTACGCTAAATTGGCCCAAGGCGGGAGCTATAGTAATTAACTGAAATGTGTTAGTCACACGCAATCTCAATGGCCGGGGGGGGGGGGGGACAACATGTTTACTGTTGCCTTGTTTCTTATTCATCTACTTAAGGAACTTCTCACTCAACTCTCCTTTCAACTGAAAAGCATTCTTAACATAATTGTGTTGACCCCATTGTGTGTCCTGAGGTTACTAGTAAACTGAAAATGGACAGCCCTCACAATGTTGAACAGCTCCAATTTAAAGTTTCTTACATTATTTGTACATGTCTCTTTAACATCTCATCCATTTTACATTTTAGTCATCATCTGAACAATTAATGCATTATTTATAAATATGCACCAGAACATGTTAACTTTAGATTGAGTAATATTTAACACTGAACACCAAAAGTGCACTACCGTTTAAAATTCAACACCTAGTTTATTTCTTCAATGGAAGCGCCTGTTGGGATTCTAAGTTCTACACTTGCTATATGTAATGTCAGTTTTGGATAAGTCTGTACAGTCTTTTCAGTACGGCGGGGACAACATTCATCATGCCAAGGATATGACAATTTCAAGATCCCCAATTCTACTGGCATTATGCTCGAGGCACATCCATTCCTTAAGCGCAACCTTTTATGACAAACATTGTGTGCATATCAGTGGGGGACGGCTGAGGTTCAGCCGTAAGTAACAGATAGAAGCAGAGGGAGGAGAGATGGGTTGTAGTGTTTACTTTGTACCCAATAGTGATTGGAGTTTGTAGAATACTGCAAGGCAATTTCTGCATTCCGATTTCACTCCCAAACTGTGCACCCGTCTCGCTAACTCCCTCTCCTGGATTTAAAGCCTTCTTACACCAGTCTATTCCTTGTAAATCCATGAGGGGAGGGACGAGTGCCCATTTTAGTTAGAGGTTAAAGGAAACGGCTGCAGACAAGAGTTTAGGGAGGAAGAAGACAAATATAAATAGTTTTGGTTGTGTAGTATTAACTTGCACTGGGTCTCAGTATGAAATGGCACTGCGGAAATGCCATCCTCTTGTTCTGTACTCTGTGTGTATCAGGGTACAAATCACCTGACTCACCCTTTTCTCCATCTCCAACACTGCAATGGTATTTCCTTGGGTTAATTTTCTTTATGGCCGTCTGGTGAACAAAGACGGCTTCCTCATGTTCGTTCCAGCGCGTGTAGGGCACAATAGAAAATAATCGTAGTCCACAGGGTCATTTCATACCGAGACCTACTGCGATACGATTAAATACTACACAACAAAACCCAGTCTTTACAAAGTAAAGAGGGTTGCAGAAGGATAAAATGACAAACGGATATTGTGGGCTGGATAACAGGGATCATCTGTAATGTTGAGAGTGACAGAGGCAGGGTAAAAGGCGCCAGATGCATACACAAGTTACAGTTGATACAGAAGATTTTTCTGGGATGGGTTAAAGTGCAGTCAGATAATTCTGGTTACTTTGACTGTCAGTCCGGCTGAAAACTGGTGCTGTAAGTTAATTGGTGGGCAGCTGAAAAACATCCTTGAATTGGGGATGAGGTAACAGGAATGACCTTCTTGAACAGGCCTGCACAGACAGGGAGTAACCTGTGCAGATTCATCATCGCCTCTTCAGAACAGAAGTAAAATCTCAGAGGGAGCAGTTCCGCCAACAGAATTATCCAAAATGGCTGGCCACTCAGGATGCTAGAGGTTGTTGTGCTTCCACTAGTGAGGATTCCTGTAAAGAGACAACATTGGGGAGTATTTGCACTTAATACATATGGCAAAAAAAACTCAAATTAAAGACTGGAATTATTTAAAGCTGGAATCCTTAATTGCTTATAGACTTAATGAGATATACACATTGATTCCTGAAGATTATAAATTGGGTGGTTCGAGCCCCGAATGCTGATTGGCTGACAGCCGTGATATATCAGACCGTATACCACATGTATGACAAAACATGTATTTTTACTGCTCTAATTACGTTGGTAACCAGTTTATAATAGCAATAAGGCACCTTGGGGGTTTGTGGTATATGGCCAACATACTGTACCACAGCTAAGGGCTGTAAACCAGGCACTCCGCGTTGCGTTGCTAAGAACAGCCTTTAGCTGTGGTATATTGGTCATATACCACACCCCCTCTGGCCTTATTGCTTAAATATAACTTATAAATTCCTCATGAGCTAAGTTCAACTGTCATACCAAATCAGGACCCCAAATACAAGCTTGTTTTACTCCAATGTTTGTAAACAAAACATTGTATAGCCTCAAAACATGGTTAAAACTATAATTTTGATATCATGGATGGTCAGTCCTTGCATCCATAGCTTGGTCTATGATTTTGAGAGTGGTTACATTTGTCCAGGCCCATCCCTCAGCTTTTTACCAAAACACAGGCAGGGTGACCGCCTTATTATTGTTTCAATTAAGGATCTTTAAAGCAGAGCTTCTTAAACTATGGGTCGGGACCTGGGCATGTAAGAGGTGGGTCTCAAGTTATTAGAACGCATCTGTAATCATACACTATTTCCTCTTAATTTGGGTCACGGGAGGACGGTCAATTTCTCATTTGGGACTCGAGCTGGAAAAGTTTAACCCGCGATTTAAAGATTTGATGCATCACTACAGATAAAAAAGGGGACCACAAAAACAGTAGGGCATAGTGCAAATTATATATATATATATATATACACACACACACACACATATACACACACACACAGTTTAAGTCAGAAGTTTACATACATTTACATTTTAGTCATTTAGCAGACGCTCTTATCCAGAGCAACTTACAGTTAGTGAGTGCATACATTTTTCATACTGGCCCCCCGTGGGAAACGAACCCACAACCCTGGCTTTGCAAACGCCATGCTCTACCAACTGAGCTACATCCCTGCCGGCCATTCCCTCCCCTACCCTGGACGACGCTGGGCCAATTGTGCGCCGCCCCATGGGTCTCCCGGTCACGGCCGGCTACGACAGAGCCTGGATTCGAACCAGGATCTCTAGTGGCGCAGCTAGCACTGTGATGCACCTTAGCCAAATACATTTAAACTCAGTTTTTCACAATTCCTGACATTTAATCCTAGTAAAAATCCCTGTCTTAGGTCAGTTAGGATCACCACTTTATTTTATGAATGAATGTGAAATGTCAGAATAATAGGAGAGAGAATTATTTCTTTCAGCTTTTATTTATTTCATCACATTCCCAGTGGGTGAGAAGTTTACATACACTCAATTAGTATTTGGTAGCATTGCCTTTAAATTGTTTAACTTGGGTCAAACATTTTGGGTAGCCTTCCACAAGCTTCCCACAATAAGTTGGGTGAATTTTGGCCCATTCCTCCTGACAGAGCTGGTGTAACTGAGTCAGGTTTGTAGGCCTCCTTGCTCGCACATGCTTTTTCAGTTCTGGCCACAAATTATCTATAGGATTGAGGTCAGGGCTTTGTGATGGCCACTCCAATACCTTGACTTTGTTGTCCTTAAGCCATTTTGCCACAACTTTGGAAGTATGCTTGGGGTCACTGTCCATTTGGAAGACCCTTTTACGACCAAGCTTTAACTTCCTGACTGATGTCTTGAGATGTTGCTTCAATATATCCACATAATATTCCTTCCTCATGATGCCATCTATTTTGTGAAGTGCACCAGTTCCTCCTGCAGCAAAGCACCCCCACAGCATGATGCTGCCACCCCCGTGCTTCACGGTTGGGATGGTGTTCTTTGGCTTGCAAGCGTTCCCCTTTTTCCTCCAAACTTAACAATGGTCATTATGTCCAAACAGTTCTATTTTTGTTTTTCAGACCAGAGGACATTTCTCAAAAAAGAATGATCTTTGTCCCCATGTGCAGTTGCAAACCATAGTCTGGCTTTTTTATGGCGGTTTTGGAGCAGTGGCTTCTTCCTTGCTGGCTTTTAAAGGTTATGTCAATATAGGACTCGTTTTACTGTGGATATAGATACTTTTGTACCTGTTTCCTACAGCATCTTCACAAGGTCCTTTGCTGTTGTTCTGGGATTGATTTGCACTTTTCGTACCAAAGTACGTTCATCTCTAGGAGACAGAACGTGTCTCCTTCCTGAGCGGGATGATGGCTGCGTGGTCCCATAGTGTTTATACTTGCGTACTATTGTTTGTACAGATGAACGTGGTACCTTCAGGCGTTTGGAAATTGCTCCCAAGGATGAACCAGACTTGTGGAGCTCTACAATAATTTTTCTGAGGTCTTGGCTGATTTCTTTTGATTTTCCCATGATGTCAAGCAAAGAGGCACTGAGTTTGAAGGTAGGCCTTGAAATACATCCACAGGTACACCTCCAATTGACTCAAATGATGTCAATTAGCCTATCAGAAGCTTCTAAAGCCATGACATCATTTTCTGGAATTTTCCAAGCTGTTTAAAAGGCACAGTCAACTTAGTGTATGTAAACTTCTGACCCACTGGAATTGTGATACAGTCAATTATAAGTGAAATAATCTTTCTGTAAACAATTGTTGGAAAAATTACTTGTGTCATGCACAAAGTAGATGTCCTAACCGACTTGCCAAAACTATAGTTTGTTAAAAATAATTGTGGAGTGGTTGAAAAACGAGTTTTAATGATTCCAACCTAAGTGTATATAAACTTCCGACTTCAACTGTGTGTGTGGTGTGTACACAAAAAATTTAAGAGACCACTGCAAAATTCTGGTTTTACTATTTATAGGTATGTGTTTGGGTAAAAATAACATTTTTGTTTTATTCTATAAACTACTGACAACATTTCTCCTAAATAAAACTTGTCATTTAGAGCATTTATTTGCAGAAAATGACAACTGGTCAAAATAACAAAAAAGATGCAGTGTTGTCAGACCTCGAATAATGCAAAGGAAATACGTTCATGTTCATTTTTAAACACAATAGTAATGTTTTACCTTAGGAAGAGTTCAGAAATCAATATTTGGTGGAATAACCCTGATTTTCAATCACAGCTTGCATGCGTCTTGGCATGCACTCCACCAGTCTTTCACATTGATGTTGGGTGACCTTATGCCACTCCTTGCACAAAAATTCAAGCAGCTTGGCTTTGTTTGATGGCTTGTGACCATCCATCTTCCTCTTGATCACATTCCAGAAGTTTTCAATGGGGTTCAGGTCTGGAGATTGGGCTGGCCATGACAGGGTCTTGATCTGGTGGTCCTCCATCCACACCTTCATTGACCTGGCTGTGTGGCATGGCGCATTGTCCTGCTGGAAAAACCAATCCTCAGAGTTGGGGAACAATGTCAGAGCAAAAGGATGCAAGTTTTCTTCCAGGACAACCTTGTACGTGGTTTGATTCATGCGTCCTTCACAAAGACAAATCTGCCCGATTCCAGCCTTGCTGAAGCACCCCCGGATCATCACCGATCCTCCACCAAATTTCACAGTGGGTGCGAGAAACTGTGGCTTGTAGGCCTCTCCAGGTCTCCATCTAACCATTAGACGACCAGGTGTTGGGCAAAGCTGAAAATTGGACTCAGAGAAGATGACCTTACTCCAGTGCTCTACGGTCCAATCCTTATGGTCTTTTGCAAACCTCAGCCTGGCTCTTCTCATTGATGAAGGGCTTTTTTCTATCTTTGCACGACTTCAGCCCTGCCCCTAGGAGCCTGTTTCGAACCGTCCTCGCCGTGCACTTCACCCCAGCTGCCGTTTGCCATTATTTTTGTAGGTCACTTGATGTCATCCTACGGTTGAGTGACATTCGAATGAGTTGGCGGTCATCCCGGTCAGTAGAGAGTCGTTTTCGCCCTCTGCCGGTCTGTAGCTTTGTTGTCCCCAATGTCTGGTGCTTGACCTTGTTCTTATGAACCGCCGTATTTGACATTTTAAGGATGGAAACAACCTGACGCTCACTGAATCCCTCTGCCAGTAAAGCCAGAATTGAACCTTTCTTTTCCTCACTCAAAACTTTCCTTTTCAACTCTTTTGGCATGGACAATAGTTATTTTTTGATTAATATTACTTCTGAGGTACTATTAGCACTGTTTTTGCCATCCAGCTGGTCCTATTGCAAGAGGATAGTGATGACCACAGCAGTGGTTTTTATACTTTTCCCCGTTAAATAAGATTTGGTTCAGGTGACCACCTAATCAGTACCTAATTCAGTAGAATGAGGTGTGCCTGTGTTGGAATTCAATAGACACTGGAATGGAATGGCTGTCATACATGTAGAGGCTGATTTAAGAAAAATGTGCAGTGGTCTCTTAATTTTTTCCAGAGCTGTATATACACACACACATACATCTATATATATATATATATATATATATATATATATATATATATATCTATATATACATACATACATACATACATACATACATACATACATAAATCCATTACGCAATACAAAGAGTGGTCAGTCACACACCTCTTTTTGGTCCTCTGGCGGCACAGGGATGGTGGCTCCATCCTCAGTGGGAGATGGTGATGTGTCCATTTTCTCCTCTCCTCCCTTGGCTGCTCCCTCCATCCCGTGCTCGGCCTCCCATTCCTGCAGCACCTCATCCAGGTTGAAGCGTCGGCGGTAGTTGACAAAGAAGTTCTTCACCTGCACCACAGACTTGTTGCCTATCACGTCAGAGATAGCCTGGAAGTCCCGCCCATATTTTCTGATGGCTGGAAGAGGTTACAATGGAGTGAACATACATTTTGAACAAATTGAGATTGTTATGTGCCATGCCCCCCAGTGAAACAGAACTCAAGATGAAATTCTTTATCATCTGACTTTTCACATGGTCCCTACTTCAGTTGGTTAAATGTTCTACCTCCTCCCTTTCTCTAATCCCAACCCATCTGTTGCACTTGCAATCAATTACCTTGTACAGCAAGCAGTTGCTCCTCTGTTGTCCAGCGTGTGTTAAACTTCTGGTTCACCTGAGACATAAATAGTCACAAACATACAAGCAACACGACAGGTGAAAATGTATTACAAGGCAAGTGATGTTACGTTTGATACCGGAGCAATCGCAAAGCAGTTTACTTCAAAGCAGTGTGCTGATGCCCGTATCACTTTATCAGAAGCATGTCATCAATGACGTCAAACTTTATTTTGGTCGCAAACCACCTGATTGGTTTGGTATTGGTAGAAGACAAAAGGAAGTGAAACCTTTTCATTGAAGGTTGGTTACCGAAAGTTGTGCAAGTTGATTTTGAGAGTTGCTAGCGTCTAATGAGCTGGGAAATGGGATCCTATTTCAAACATATAATAATGTACATATGTTTTTATTATTTGATTTTTTTTTACAAATACTAGACATCTCAGCGCTGTCTCTGTGCTACGGCGTGTGTGACGTAATCTATAATCATTTGGCTGCTCTAAAATTCTTCTGACCAGCAGATTCCACTAGTGTACGCTGAGTTGATCAATGCTGAGCAATAAACCTATTTTCGACAATTGGCTGGAAACCTTTTGGGCGATCCTACCAAATGTACATAGAAATGTGTGTTACAGATCTGTCACTCATTGAACGCAAGTCTAAAAAGTGGTAGATCTGTTCTGTTTCCCGTTCTTAAGTTTCGTTTTTGCGTCTTTTACTTTCGGTTTTGTACACCAGCTTCAAACAGCGAAAAACACAATATTTTTGGTTATGAAAATATATTTCACAGCGGTTTAGATTGTACGATGGTTCTCTACACAATACTTGCTTGTTTTGTCACAAACTGAAATTAGGCTAACTATTAGGAGCCATTTCTGCATAGAGCACCTTTAATTCTATGGAGACAGTGAAATGAGAAGGTCAGAACTCTAAATCAGCAATAGCGTTACCTCAGGTACTCTGAAGTTGTCTACTCCCACATCTAGCTTCTCCTTCAGGGCACTGTTATTCTGTTTGATGCTCTGGATCTAGAAGGGGATAAAACTCATTAAGGAATAATGTCCAGGTTAACTCATCAACCTAAAGATACTCAAGGTACACAGGCTTAGTTCTTAATTTCCACACAAATCTCCCATTGACACCAATACATGATTGACACAAAATGTACTCATCAATGGATAGGAAATGCTGTCACAGAAGAATAATGTATTACTGTTAAGACAGTGCACTAACCTGCCGTTTGATGCCAACCAGCTCCATGTCCATTTGCCGCAGCACACCGACCGCAGCAGGGGTGCTGGTGGACATAGCAGCTACGTCTCCCTGACTCAGATACATTCCTTTAGGAGGCTTCTTCTTAGCACGGTGCAGGTTCTTCCCTGGAGGACCCTGGGGTTCTTTCTTGACGTGGGTCAGTTTCTCTGCCACGCCAGTAGTCGGCTAGACGTGAAGGAATACATTTAGGTTAAAAAGCCCAACCATCAAAAGTAGAGTGAATTGAATATGAATGTTGTATGTTTCTATTGAAATGGTAATGAAAATATTTGGAATTCAAAAGCTACCTTCTGTACCACTGCTAGTGGTTTTGGCTCCTGTTTCTCAGGTGCTGCGCCCAGCTAAAACAGAAAATTACCATGTTAGTTGGCTTCAATAAACTACATTTGTGTATTAAATGATAAGAGCCTCTGAATAGACCCACCTCTTTCTTCTCCTCTTTATTTGGTTCGTACTCTACATCGCTTGGAGCATTTCCATTGGTCTCCTCAGCCTCATCCTCACTGAAAAGATAAAGCAAAAACTTGATACATAGAAAAAAATAATGGTATTCTTGGCAAGACTTTCCTAATAATACAATAATCAGTTTTTGGGGCTAATTTGGAATGGTTGAAACCACCCAGGACTACTTTTTCAAAAGGGAGTGAAAGTTGAGAGACTGGGTTCATGCATTTTAAACAAAAGCATACACTTCTCATACCTCTGCTCTCGTTCCCTCTTCTGCTTGCGTGCATGGCGATCCATGACACTGGTTTTGCTCCGTGTCTTCTTCCATGAGTAGTAGAATCTAACCAAGCTGGCAATGGATTTGTCTGGTAGCTAGCACAAGAAGAACTTATCAATGACAAACGAAAACACTGTTTTCTGCATAATTTGTGGTTTAGAGACATCACACAATGAACACCCCAAATTAGCATTCAGTATCATGTCATCGTCATCATGATGTGTTCCATGTTTGCCAATGAAGTAGTCTGCTTTTTACTGACAAAAATGATACAATTCGGCGGCGTTAGGCTCACCATCTGCTGTATACGGTGGAATGTTTTTCCGTGGAAGCTGAAGCCCTGTTCAAACAGGACCTTGTCCTCCACTGTCCACTCATCTGGGAAAGGTGTGAAGTTGGGCAAATCTGCCAGGGACTTCTCAATGTTGTGCTTGTGCCAGAAGAGCATCCCCAGTGCCTGTTCCATGTTGTACCCATGCTTCTCTTTGGCAATTGCAATGTATTCATCCACTGTAAAAAATATATAAAACATAGCCTTATTCTAAAATGGATTAAATAAATGTTTTTCCCCTTAATCTACACACAATACCCCACAATGACAAAGCAAAAATAGGTAAATGTATTAAAAATAAACAGAAATACCTTATTTACATTAGTATTCAGACCCTTTGCTATGAGACTCGAAATTGAGCTCAGGTGCATCCTGTTGCCATTTATCATCCTTGAGATGTTTCTACAACTTGGAGTCCACATGTGGTAAATTCAATTCATTGGACATGATTTGGAAAGGCACACACCTGTCTATATAAGGTCCCACAGTTGTCGGTGCATGTCAGAGCAAAAACCAAGCCATGAGGTCAAAGGAATTGTCCGTAGAGCTCCGACACATGATTGTGTCGAAGCACAGATCAGGGGAAGGGTACCAAAAAATGTCTGCAGCATTGAAGGTCCCCAAGAACACAGCGGCCTCCATCATTCTTAAATGTAAGAAGTTTGGAACCACCAAGACTCTTCCTAGAGGTGGCCGCACGGCCAAACTGAGCAATCGGGGGAGAAGGGCCTTGGTCAGGGAGGTGACCAAGAACCAGATGGTCACTCTGATAGAGCTCCAGAGTTCCTCTGTGGAGATGAGAGAACCTCCCAGAAGGACACCCATCTCTGCAGCACTCCACCAATTAGGCCTTTATTGTAGAGTGGCCAGACGGAAGCCACTCCTCAGTAAAAAAGGCACATGACAGCCTGCTTGGAGTTTGCCAAAAGGCACCTAAAGGACTCTCAGACCATGAGAAACAAGATTCTCTCGTCTGATGAAACCAAGATTGAACTCTTTGGCCTGAATGCCAAGCGTCACGTCTGGAGGAAACCTGGCACCATCCCTACGGTAAAGCATTGTAGTGGCAGCATCATGCTGTGGGAATGTTTTTCAGTGGCAGTGACTGGGAGACTAGTCAGGATTGAGGGAAAGAGGAACGGAGCAAAGTACAGCGAGATCCTTAAGGAAAACCTGCTCCAGAGCGCTCAGGACCTCAGACTGGGGCGAAGGTTCAACTTCCAACAGGACAACGACCCTAAGCACACAGCCAAGAGAATGCAGGAGTGGCTTCAGGACAAGTCTCTGAATGTCCTTGAGACGCCCAGCCAGAGCCCGGACTTGAACCCGATCTAACATCTCTGGAGAGACCTGAAAATAGCTGTGCAGCGACGCTCCCCATCCAACCTGACAGAGCTTGAGGTGTGCCAAGCTTGTAGCGTGCCAAGCTTGTAGCGTCATACCCAAGACGACTTGAGGCTGTAATCGCTGCCAAAGGTGCTTCAACAAAGTACTGAGTAAAGGGTCTGAATACTTATGTAAATGTAATATTTCCATGTATTAATTTTTTGCAACAATTTTTTTTATCCAATTTAGAATAAGGCTTTAACGTAACAAAATGTGGAAAAAGTCAAGGGGTCTGAATACTTTCCAAATGCATTGTATATGTACAGTACCAGTCAAAAGTTTGGACACACCTACTCAAGTTTATTTAATTTTTTTACTATTTTCTACATTGTAGAATAATAGTGACGACATCAAAACCATGAAATAATCATTTAGTAACCAAAAAGTGTTGAACAAATCCAAATATATTTTATTTGAGTTTCTTCAAATAGCCAACCTTTCCCTTGAAAACAGCTTTGCACACTTATGCCATTCTCTCAACCACCGTCACCTGGAATGCTTTTCCAACAGTCAAAAAGGAGTTCCCACATACGCTGAGCACTTATTGGCTGCTTTTCCTTCACTCCGCCGTTCGACTCATCCCTAAACCATCTGAATTGGGTTGAGGCGGGGGATTGTGGAGGCCAGGTCATCTGATGCAGCACTACATCACTCTCCTTCTTGGTCAAATAGCCCTTACACAGCCTGGAGGTGTGTTGGGTCATTGTCCTGTTGAAAAACAAATGATAGTCCCACTAAGCCCAAACCAGATGGGATGGTGTATCGCTGCAGAATGCTGTGGTAGCCATGCTGGTTAAGTGTGCCTTGAATTCTAAATACATCACAGACAGTGTCACCAGCAAAGCACCTCCACACCACCTCCTCCATGCTTTTCGGTGGGAAATACACATGCGAAGATCATCCGTTCACCCACATTGCGTCTCACAAAGACATGGCTGTTGGAACCAAAAATCTCAAATTTGGACTCCAGACCAAAGGACAAATTTCCACCGGTCTATTGTCCATTGCTCGTGTTTCTTGGCCCAAGCAGGTCTCTTCTTATTGGTGTCCTTTAGTAGTGGTTTCTTTGCAGCAATTCGACCATGAAGTCCTGGTAACTCTGGGTCTTCCTTTCCTGTGGTGGTCCTCAAGAGAGCCAGTTTCATCATAGCGCTTGATGGTTTTTGTGACTGCACTTGAAGAAACTTTCAAAGTTCTTGAAATGTTCCGGATTGACTGACCATGTCTTAAAGTAATGATGGACTGTCATTTCCCTTTGCTTATTTGAGCTGTTCTTGCCATAATATGGACTTGGTCTTTTACCGAATAGGGCTATCTTCTGTATACCACCCCTATAACTGATTGGCTCAAACGCATTAAGAAGGAAAGAAATTCCACTAATTAACTTTTAACAAGGCACACCTATTAATTGAAATGCATTCCAGGTGACTACCTCATGAAGCTGGTTGAGAGAATGCCAAGAGTGTTCAAAGCTGTCATCAAGCCAAAGGGTGGATACTTTGAAGAATCTAAAACGGCAGGTAGCTTAGTGGTTAAGAGCGTTGTGCCAGTAACCGAAAGGTCGCTGGTTCTAATCCCCGATGCTGACTAGGTGAAAAATCTGTCGATGTGCACTTGAGCAAGGCACTTAACCCTAATTGCTCCTGTAAGTCGCTCTGGATAAGAGCGTCTGCTAAATGACCTATTTATTTATTTATTTAAAATATTCTGATTTGTTTAACACTTTCTTGGTTACTACATGATTCCATATGTGATATTTCATAGTTTTGATGTCTTCACTATTATTCTACAATGTAGAAAATAGTCAAAATAAAGAAAAATCCTTGAATGAGTAGGTGTCCAAACTTTTGACTGGTACTGTATATATCCAAAAGACTATGGCATAACACTCACTTGCATAACACTCAGCTACCCATTTCTGTTATTATTGCATAGCTATTACATTAACTAAATATTTTGCTTCAGATAAACATAAGGTTTGCAAAAGTAAACTGGGCAAGTAGTTTACATTTGGTACATAATGAGGAAAATGACTTGAATGTTTCTCACATTTAGCTTCAGCCAGGTTTGGGCTGGGGAGCCACACCAGCATGCCCAGGTTGTCCCTCTCCTCTGCCGCCTTGGCAATCTCTGTCACAGGGGGGATAAAGGATCGAATGAGGACCAGTGACTTAATTACTCAAACTACTCATTGCCTTTATCCTAAATGCTTTTATGTTTTAAATGTTGATAGTGAAACTCTGGTGAAAGTGAAACCCATTTCCAATAATACAGGTTTAGCTAGAATTAAATTCCATGTTCATTTGGAAAATACAACATGTATTATCATCAGCACAAGCCTATCAATTCTCTCATGGAGACCAAATTGAGAAAAAAATATGGACCATCAGAAATCAGGACTTATCAGAAATAGGCTTATAGGCTAGTGAAAGCAGCTACAAATAATACATTTCATAATGATTCGTTCTGTAAAGGGTAGCCATCTACACCATTCTCACCCCCAATAAACTTCAATTAAACGTTTATAATAATGGTCGTTCGACCAACAATTAGGGCCCAGCTATAACGGAAGTAAATTACAAACTTTTTAATTAGCTCATCTCCGATTTTTTAATTCAGCATCTAAATATGCTTAAATATATTGGATACATAGACATTAGTTCTGCGCTTAAATCCGTTCAAACAGGAAACAATGTAGCCGTGGACAGGAGTTGGAATGTCAAAATAATACAGATGTAGTTAGCTGTAGCCCGCTTAGTCAAAGCTCGTGGAATAGACGACCAGGAATTGTTCGAGGCTATCATGTCTGGTAACCTGTTCCATCTTCATGACTGTGAACAGTAAAATGACTCACCTGGATCATAGTCTGGCACGAGGGCTTGATACTGAGTCCCAACTCTCATACCACCACTACCTGAACATATAACATAAACACAGGAATAATATTTTGAATCAGTGTACAAGTGTATGAACTAGTTTAGAGTGACCGAGGCTACCACCGTCGTGTTGACCTACCATGCTCATCATCACTGGAGGAGCCCGAACTTCCTTCCTCCCATGAATTGTTGATATTCCCATTTGTAGCTAAACTTTTGTTAGGATTATTAACTGTATTCCTACCCCTTCTTTTCCCTGACATTTCTGAACCACTCTTTTCCATCATCGCAGGGATTTTTTTTAATGGAGAAAGAGCAACAAAACTACTCGGATTTTGGCTAGCTAGCTGGCTAGCCACTGTACTGGCTGTCGTCAGCAGCACCTTGCTAGATGCCTGGCGCTAGTTTGCTAGCTAGTGAACAAAGTAACGTTAGCAGGTTGGCTAGCAAAGCTACTGTGGCTAGCTAGACGAAGCGATGATGACCAACTGATTAAACTGTTCAACTAGCCAGCAGTCTCAATTAAGACGGCTATATTATAAAAGTCGTTCAGATAGCTGGCTCCAAAAATATAACGGGTGGCCAAATAACTGTGTTGTATGGGTATTTGAATATTAACCAGTTAGCTAGCAAAAATACCCCAAGTTAGCGAGGGATGCTTGACTGCTAGCTCGCTGCTACTTTGGATAAAAGTTGCGGTAGCAACTAGCTAGCTTGATTTATGAAATCAATTAGCATAGCTAGAGCTACGTGGCTTTAACACACGCATTTGTCGACGATATTCTACAGATTTTGACTAGTTAGCTGGCTACTTTTGTCCATTACAATCGTTACTAGCTAGGTGTCGTGAATCTTGCCAGGTGGGTCGGTTGCTAGTTGACACTCCACGGGGTCTTGATAAAGTGCCTGGCTGCATCAGATGGAACTGGATTTTTCAATGCTTGCCCTGAAGAGGCCTCCCTCAAGCTAATAATGATGAGTGGACCAACTCTCTTCTTGCCTGGAAACTAGAGGCTACATTTAATTAATTAATTAATTAGGTAGGTGGGAACTTATGCAATTAAACAAAATTAGTTTTTCTACGTTCTACAGCCAATTCATGTAATTAATTTAAATTCAAGTAGGCTAATTAAAATAATCGAATTGAAAAGAATGGATACCTCAAATCATATGGACTGTATTTATTATATTTTATTTTCATAAGGACTGCGTTTTATTTTATTTTTTGTTTATATGTCAGGGGACCATGCACAAATTATACATAGGCCTATCAGAGTAACCTAAATATGTGGCCCCCTGGCCCAACCTCAGGGCCATATAAGGGAGCAGTGTCTTGCATTCACACTGTCACAATCAAGCTACTTCTGGGCTCCTTGAAAATGAGTAGGCTAAAGTGAAAGTGAACTCAAAAATATTGTGTGTGCATATATAAACTCCCCTCTGTATTTATTTGGAGTGAAGCTAAATGTTTTACATTTGGCTCAATACTCCAGCAGTTTGGATTTGAGATCAAATGTTTCATATGAGACGACATACAGAATGTCACCTTTTATTTGAGGGTATTTTAAAACATATCTGTTTTAGAAATAAAAGCACTTTATGTATCTAGTACCCCCATTTGGATTCACTTATAGTGTATTAAAGTAGTCAAAAGTGTATTATTTGGTTCCATATGCCTAGCACCCAATGACTAAATCGAGCTTGTGACTCTACAAACTTGTTGGATGCATTTGCAGTGTTTCGGATTATGTTTTGACCAATAGGAACTGAATGGTGAATAATATATTGTGTCATTTGAGTTACTTTTATTGTAAATAGGAATAGAAGATGTTTCTGAACACCTCTACATTAAATGTGGATGCTACAATGATTAGGGATAATCATGAATGAATCGTGAATAATGATGAGTGAGAAGCTTACAGGGGCACAAAGATCATACCCCCAAAAAACTGCTAACCTACCTTTTGGGGGATGGGAGGCATGATCTACACTACAGAGGGGAGTGTATATGTGGCAATGCAGTTGCAGACAGTGCCCTCAAAATATTTGGCCAGTGAAGTCAATATTTGGGGAGCTCAATAGCCTACTTGAGCTAGACTAATTTCTTGCTCCAAATGGGGGTCCTCCCATAGGCATAGGAAATACTTTCTATAGGCTACTATTGCCTGATGTTAATGTATCTGGTCTCAAGCCCCCCCAAAAATGTTTTACTACACTGGCAAAATACTTCTGGAAGGCACTGTATCTGTTCAGATACATGAATAAAAGACAAAATTGTATTTTGGTTTTTCCTCTGTTCTTATCCTTTTTCCATTGTCGTTCCCACAGATGTGGTGGTTACAGATTGTGATGGATTTCATTCTCCACTTAATGTTCATTTAATCAAAAAGACTCATCCATCATGCTTCTTCTGAACTGTAAAGTGGCCTATTTTATACAGTATAGCCCCACCCTAACTATCTAGCTGCAGCAGGCATGCTCATGTCATGTTTATATACACTAAATCTCAATTTTATCTTTAGTGGTCTTCAAGTTCTCATGACAGGCTACACAGATTACCCAGGCCATAATGCAGGGTTAGGGTTGGGGTTTATGACTGTGAAACATTACTATGCCTGTTTGCATCATAGTCACTGGGACTGCCTGCTGCAGCTGGATCATGCTTCTCTCAATTGCTATTACTCACAACCATGCTTAATGAGGATATGTATCAGCCCATGCAACTCCATACCAGGATGTCCCTTTCTCCAAAATGTTTTATTGATACCAGTCTGTCATTTTTGGATAATTGTAGCCTACTCAATGTTCAATTTTCTTTCCTACCTAAACATTTTTAATTAGAAGATTCCTAACCATTTTACATTGAATTACCGCTTCATTGCCCATTTTACACTGCATTTCCACTTCTGCATGGCTCATAAGAAATCATTTAAATACGTCAGATTTGATCATGATGTGGGGACATACTGTTTGCTGTAAATTTGAAAATGAATTTAAAATGGTTGGTGATGATGAAGATAGGCTACTTTGTCAATTCAAGGTTATTCATGACATGTAATTACACGTATTCACCAAACAGGTGGCGTGGTCGACTATCTAAAAGCCGCGTATGGTCTGCCCTATACTGAAGCTACTAAAACCAATAGCCAACTTTGCATCACACATACATTTGACTTTGCATGAACTCACAAGCTGTTACATAATTTGAGCTGAATTTTTATGTTAAAGTTAGGCTGTGACATATGCATTGCAAAAACACTTTCAAACGCCTATAAATCCTATTGTTGCCTGACCATTGTCCATTAATGTGGTATGTGTTTTTATTCTATCCTTAAAATAAATCTTACACTTGATAGGTTTAGCCTAATCCTGATGAGACATCACGACCCAAACGAGAAACTGTTATAATGCGTAAAACATATGCTTAATCTTTGTGTCAGAATTTAGCAGAGGGGAGTGTTGGCAGCAGCACCAGACGCGCAATTATATAACATACACTGGCGACCCACAACCCAACATACGTCCTCTACACTGGACTGTTCTGAATGTACTGTATGCAGTGGGGACACTCGATAGCAGGGCGATAGCGCGTCGCACAAACAAATGGCTCAAATGGCACACAACAAATATAGAAAAGTTAGGCCACTTTGAACTGACGTCACATTTCATCTCACCTTGAAGTCGTCATCAGCCAATGGGGATATTTGTTGACGCAGTGAACGACCAACGAGAGCAGTCGTGAAGGGTGTTCCACTATCGTTCGCCACCAGCAAGGGTATATAAACTGCCGATGGAGTTCAAAGAGGGGTTTGAAGCAAGTCAAGAATAGCGGTAAAAGGGTTACAGTCTCAGACAGGGTCCTTGCTACTGAACACAGACTCGGAGCGCAGCGAGACCGAAGAGCCCTAAACGTTTTCGATTGCTATTGGCTTTTATTTTGAAAAACTTTTTTCAGTGTGTCATGCAACTTTCCTAAATTCAGCCATTGATCATTTTTCGAGTTATTTTTCTCTTCTAAAAAAAATCACCTCTGTTGACATCCTGTGTTGATGTAAACAGACCTGGCACAGAGGTGCTTATACCTTGCATAAAAAGGTATATTCCGAAATTAAAGGGATCTGCAGAACAAAGTGGCCATGCCTTACGATCTAGCGGGTGTGTTTGACAACCGGGCGGATTATAAATCCGAGAAACAGTGCCAAAGAACCTCCTTTGCCTTCTACCAAGCAGTGCGGGACCTGTTACCAGTATGGGTGCTCGAGGACATGCGGACAATGGAGGTGTTTCATTGGGAAGATGACGGGCGGGCGTGCGCTTTTACTCCATCCGAGGCTTTTCTGTATGCACTTGTGCACGATCATCAACAATACGCCAGATACCTGCTCAACAGATACTCTGTCGGCGCACTGGAGATGCCCAGTCGAAGCTTCTGCTGCTGCCAAGCATCCGCAACACCGCATCTCACAGTAGCTGTCCGCTATAACCGTATTACTATCCTCAAAATGATTCTGGACTCTCTGAAAGACTTCTCCGATAGCGAGCGCGTGAGCTACTTTAACAGTCGTGGATGTTTTCACATGGAAGGAGGCAAAGGCGCATTGCATATGGCGTGTGAACTGGTTCGCCCTGAGTGTTTGATTCTGTTACTAGGACACGGTGCATGTCCTTATGTGACAGATCGAGATGGGAACACCCCCTTGGACTGCCTCTTAAATCAGATACGCCAGGGTGAGCCTGACATGCGCCGGAAGCACGTCTGCCTTGGTTATCTCATTCTCTTCATGCCAAAATTCCATTTTCAAATGAAGGGACAGTTGCAGAAGAATCCAGGGCTGTGGCAGAGTCTTATTGGAGAGCAGGCGTTCCAGTGGCTCTCAGGACTATCTCCTCCCTCTCTCTTTGTTCAGGCTATGCAGAAGATGACCCAGTCCATACCTGTTGAACAGCTGGACCCTCTGCCAGACTTTCTGAAACCACTGGACTTCAGGCTACACCAGTATGCCAGTTAGACTCTCTCAGACCTCTCAGATAAAACTACTGTACTGACTTCTGGACTCAAAGGTTTATTTTTGGCTATGGTGTGCACAGTTTGACAACAGTATCAATAAAAGTGAATTAAATGCTGCATGTGGCTTTGTAAATAGCAATAACTTAAAAAGTTCTTAAAATGTTGTTTAAAAACAATGCACTTTAGAATAAATGTATATTAATTAATATTTAATATTTGACACTAAAGAGTGAATAATGGTGTTAATGTTGCAATGTGTAAATAAAATACTATTATTGTCTATTAAATATATTAACCTGTGGTTTTCTTTGATCTATAATGTGCTTCACCTATATGGCCATTATCTGGAGGTAGTGGGCTGAAGGGGCGCAGAGAACATGTTACTACTACAGTAATTACACAGTTACTACACAGGCAACGGAAAAAACTGTGTAGTTACAGATCAACAGAATAAATTATAGAATAGGTCCAAAACTATATGACAGCATGAACATATGTTTTACATCATGGATTCACCCACCCATAAAACATGGCACAATGGTTTGAATGAGCTCTTAACACACATTCATGGTTTTGTTTTCTCTGACAAATGCATGGCTCGTGGTCAGAAGGAGAACATTCTCAACTCCAGTCCTGGGCTGGGCCCCCACATTTTTGTTCCAGCTCAGCACTGTGTTAGTGCTGGTCTAGAGCAAAAATGTGCAGTCCTATGGAGTTGAGAAACACTGCTTTATGGTGGTCATACAGTATCATCACGTAGAGTCACTGTAAACATCTTTATTAAGGAAGTTCATACTGAGGAGAGGCATGGATTCATACAGTGGACTTACAGTACTGTGCATCCCATGAAATAGACGCAAAGAGGGGCTACAGTACTTCAACCTGTCCAGTATATTCCAAAACATTGGTCATTTGATGACCCATCAGATTTTTTTAACATCTCAAATGGCACCCTATTCCCCTATAAAGTGCACTACTTTTGACCAGGGCGCGGGCTCTGGTC